GCCTCAGTTGAGTGAAAATGCATATGAAACCAGAGATATGGAGCCAAATGACGGTCTCCCGACATCAACACCTGCAGGATCCGTCTTGGAATCTGCCAAACCAAAACGCGGTAAAAGAGTTAAAGAACCAAAGGCGAATACACAAACCGCTGCTAATAAGAGAGGGCCAAAAAATCAAAGGAAAGTTAAGAAAGAGAGTGAGGACGACTTAACCAAGATAATGTTTGTGAAGACAACCCATGACTACACGGACGAAGAGACAAGTAAGCATGTCTTAATAGGATCGAAATCCGATTGGAAAAATCAAGAAATGGTGGGGCTTAACCAAGTTGTCTACGACGAGACAACAATGCCACCACCGGTATGTTCATGTACCGGAGTGCTAAGACAGTGCTACAAATGGGGAAATGGAGGTTGGCAATCATCGTGTTGCACAACCACGCTATCAATGCATCCTTTACCGGCACTGCCCAACAAAAGGCATGCTCGAGTTGGTGGACGGAAAATGAGCGGAAGCGCGTTCAACAAGCTTCTAAGCCGGCTTGCTGCAGAAGGGCATCACGATCTCTCTAACCCGGTCGATCTCAAGGACCATTGGGCAAAACACGGTACAAATCGCTACATTACGATTAAATGATATGTGCATTTAGGTGTGAGTTGTTCTTATGACACTATCTGACTTTAAGTCATATGTACTAAATTCAAATAAACTCAAGAGGAAAGTATGTATGTGGAGCCAATGTTATGTTGTATTATATATAATTGGAAAAACCTTAGCATCACATTCTTATGTGTTAGCTCTAAAAATGCCGAAATGTCAATCCATATCTTTTTTTCTCTAACGAATGCCACTATATTATTTGAGAAGTTATTTTGTGTTAGCTCCAAAATCAATTTTAGCATAAGCTTCTTAGCATTTTTTACAAGTTGCATATAAATATTACAGTTTTAGCTCCAATCGCCATACTCTCCAATTTTGATTTTTGTTGTAGAAGAAAAGAATATATTATTAGTAAACTAAAATAATTACATCGATTAGAAATCAAGATTAACATGTAAGTTTACGTTACATAGTAAAAACCTTACTGCGGAAGTGAGGGAACCATCACCTGCGCACATGGTCCGGAGCCTGACCAGTTACTAGGTCGTCAGCTGTTCTGCGGGACATGCCTAGGTTTGGCGCCAAATCGTGTACCTAGTAGCAGAATAATTCAGACTTAGTATACATTTCGATGATCAATCACGTGGTTTAAACCAGGGAATTCGAGAAATTCAACAAGTAGAGAGCTTGCTTTGCAATTCGATATGTCAGTTCACTAACAAGAAGTGCAAAACTCTATAAGAATTAAAGAAGATGAAAAACAATATAACAAGTACAATAGGTCCACAGCTTTGGTCGATTTAGGTAGCCTGTTGTTGTGATAATGCCATCTTTTGTTGCTCAGTAACAGTTTTTCTTTTCATTAATCTATTAGCCAAATTTTTCTCCTCTTTCTTGCGCATTATCTTCTTCATCATCTGTGACTTGAGTAATCTCTCCTGCCTTTTCTTCTTTCTCTCTACCTTTTTCTGTCTGAGCTCCTCTGCCTTGAGTATATTTTYTGCTTTCTTCTTCTTCCTCTCCTCTATATATCTCTCTCTTTCCTCCGCTGCTTCGCGTTTTTTGTTTTCCCACTTCTTCTTCCTCCTCTCCTCTAGTTCTCTCCTTTCCTGCTCTGCCTCGCGTCTTTTCTCTTCACGCAAGTCCCGACGATCCTTGCGTCTTTTCGATTCATTGTCTTTCCTTCCAATGCTTTTGTTTTCCTTTTCCCAAGTGATTTCGCTCTGTAGGCTTATCTTATCCCCTTGGAATGTTGGGACTTTTTTCGACACTTGTTGATTCTGGAAAAAAGTATTTGGACACAATGCTGCTTCTGAGTTGACATACGTATTATCAGGTTGAGCGTTTATTGTTTGTAGCACAAGCCTGTGTGCTGCATTTCCAAGCCTAAGCCCAGAAATGCATTCTTCAGGGTTAGACCTGCACACAATGAGAAAAGGAATTGAGACGTCGAAACCATCCATATATAATGGCCCTCCAAAACTTTGCAAATTATAACGATTTATTCACCTCTTAACTTTTATGATCCTTTGAGGAGCTCTTCTTCTTCTCTCACCATCTTCATGCCATAGATCAGCTCCACCTTTCAAATCCACTAGTTGTACAGTCTGTGTAGACAATAAATGAAGAACAATGTGTAACCATTAACCAGAAATTATGTTTCTGATTCCAGTAAAATCCAACAAAGTAGCTTTCTATACCTGTTTAGGGAGCACCACTCCTGGAGCTGGACGAGCAATGTCACTGCCTCTAACATCATCTGGAAGTTTGTATATGGCGCAACTGAAAACAAAACAAAAAACGTTAATTTGATCTAGGACAGATTCCATAGAAGCTCGAAGGAGATGCCAAAAAAAGTGATTAAACCGAAAATTTTGATTAAAGGCTTACTTGACTTGATTAGCTAAAACATCTTCCATGCCCTCGATTGGGGACCTGAAGCATGGAGGCTGACTATCTCCACCACATGAAGCTAAGTAACCATTCATCTCTTCACTGCATTTATCAAGAAATTTTCAGTAGTAGTTCTAGTTTTTCCAACTTCTCTTCCGCACTAAATTATCCCATTTCTTTTATACTCGAGAAGGAATTAATACCACTCCTAAAACTAGACAAACAATCACATCATGACATAAATACTACCATAACTATCCCTACTGAATCGACTATCCTCAAGATTCAGACACAAACCTTAGTACAGGGTCAATTTTTTCCGTAATTGTTGCTCGTTCTTCGTTGCTCAATTTGTTGGTACGGCTGTAAAGAGAACGGATGAGCTCAGCAAGGGGATGAGATGCAACCACAAAGAGCATGTCACACAACACACTGTTTCTTCGAATTTCTTCGTTCTGGACAAAATAAATGAAAGAAAACAAAGTTACATGAGATTGTACAACTGTGCCTTATACACAAAAACGAAATACAAGAGTTAATATCTAAAACCGAGATGGGCTGTACCGTCAGTGAGTGCTCCACTCGTGCGGCTGCATCCAGTAGACGCTGTTCTTCAATAAAAGGCAGTTTCGCTACACCCTTTACAAGGAAAGATATAAAATATGAGACTGTAGAAATTATGCAGTTCACCAAACCATCAAGTCTGCCACTATCAGCATGAGAAAACAATCAAACCTGCCAAGAAAAGCGCTTTCCATTCATGTCAACTTCAAAATCTGCACACCAAAAGGTAAATGAGAGACATAGATTGCACAATACCACAATGAAAGAGACCAATCTGCAAAAACCTCATACCGGAAGGATAAAAATCAGCTATAGGTGAATTTGGATTTGTCATCAATGTCCTATAGCACTCTGGGAGAGCATGTGCACTGAAAATGGAATCCATCGAGCCAATCAGTGACAGCAGAGAGAGATAATGAACACTCAAAAATACAGATAGAATACCTTGCAGATGGAAGAACTGCCAGAAGCTGATTGAAAGGTTTAAATGGGGAACCCAAATCAAACTTAATATCTAGCTGATCAAGCAACTTGAGATCAGATGCGAAAGGTGCATAATGATATGGATAAAACCTGCAAAATAAACCCACAAATAACAAGTAAATTAGAGAAAGGACTAGGCTCTTTAGAAATCAAATCTCAACAGACTAAACCAATTTCCGGAAATATCTCAGTTCAATTACTAGAGAATTAGTTCATGTAGAAGCTTAGTCTGAATCAAGAAAGATATATGGCACAAATATGATGCGAGTCTTACACGGAAAATTTGATATTTTGAACAGTCCACTATAATTTGTAGCATGATGTGTAAATTAAAATGAGCATCACAATCCTAAAGGAAAATATGGTTATTTAAGCGCAATAATTATCCTGCTACATAATATTACAAGAGACGAACAACAAAGAAAGTAATCAAATGAGAGAAATATATATA